TTCGAAACGGCTAGACCCATTCTCATTAAATTTTGTTAGCATATTGAGTAGGTCTGAAAATCGGCCAACATCTATTTTTAATACCGCACGGACGGAGTTGCGGGCGACAGCTAGTAAATTATAAGTATTTTAAAGTAAATAGGTACTCTTAAAATAATTTCGTCTAAGCGCCTCTTTGTCCATACCCAGGTACAGTTTACCTCTTTAAAGCAAATAATTCCTGTCACCGACTTTTAAAAGTAATGGTGACCAGCACGCTGGACACAAGGCACTGGTCTGCAAATTACACAGTCTTACGTAAACGTTACCTCCCTCCGACTTGGTTAAAAAAAACGGGTCGCCCTAGAAATTACACCCAGGGCGATGCTAGTGCTAAATCCGACATTACTTGTTCTTTTTCCTTAGTCCATTTTATGTATCGTTTTCATGTTAGTTCGTAGCCGTGATGTTTTTGCTTTTAAATTCCACGTCCTTCAAAAGTATTTAAACTTTAAAACACACATGAAAAATTAAAAGATAAAATGGCGCGTGTAGAATACACATCCGCGTATTGTGATCAAAAATGGCTTTGCAAATAAATCCACCATACGTTTGGCACGTCCTTTCAGACGTCGGAAAGCGAGGAGGGAAGTTGTTAGGCGCTCGACAAACGCGCAAAAATACCCTGTAACGGGCAAAGTTGGATTTACTTGTACGTCCAAATGTCATAGTGACGTAACGAGGGACAATGATGTACGAGATTGATGGTCCTACTAGAAGTGAAAAACCAAATATTCTACGAGTATGTCATTAAAAAACCAAAATTTAATTCAGAATAAGTTAAATAATTCCGAGGATAAATATAGCCTCTTTATAATCTAAATATGAATTATTTATTTTTACGTTAACTTGGTTATTTAGCCGTCGTCTCGAATATCGTGTGTTAATGTTTGCGAAAAAGGACGATTACATTCAATTAAGTAGCACTTAATCCAATTCAGGAGAAAATTGTAACGAATATGAACAATTCTACATCTATGTCCGTCCTATTTTCCGCATACAACTTTTGGCCCATTTGCGATTCGTTTGAATGTACAATGATATCGACCCGACAAACTTAATGATATCGCTACCTTGTTTTACTGACGACTTTAAACTCTAGACAATAAAGCGTAGTTTAGCGCACATTTACTTTTCACATAAGTTTATAATATTGGGTCAAGCTGTACACGGAAAAAGCTGGGATACTGAGCGCGATTCATCCATCATTCATTCAACGTGTGCGGTGTGAAAGACGCCTATGATGATTATGACGCTCGCTGCTGTGTGACAACAGCTACGTTTTCCAATGCCGTGTCTTCTATAACATTGTCATAGGGGCTTTTTTTCTTTGTACAAACTCGGTGCTTGCTTTGCAGGACCTTAGACACTTCTATACCAAATACCAGTTTCGTAACGTCCTAAAAAAATCCACTTTCACAGAAATTTCTCCTTTATTGCTATGCTGATATGTTTCAATTTATTTTGCATAAATCAAACTAGTTGCAACACTGGAATTATGAAGAATGTGTAAACGTTGATAGTACTTGCTGGTTATTTGACTGGATTGCATCTGAATGTATACGTTGATAAATCCGTCTCTATTGACTCGCGTTAAGGTTTCTTTTCGTTTGTTGCTGTGTATTTGGGCATTGGGAGCGCGTTAGACAGTTTTCTAGGCATTGTTTGCAGCTTGCAGAGATGGTGGGCTGAAAGGCGCGATCGTCGACTATACGTGAACGCGTCAAGGACCACAAGTGACACGCTTTGTTTGTGAGAGCTTTATCTCCAAATACATTTAGAAATGTAGAAATGTAGGGAAACTGAAGCAATACAAAAAGCCGGCATTGATATAAAAGTTGATGTTTAAATGAGTTGCTGTAAAGAGGACGCTCGCTAAAATATCACGGTGGAAAAAGTTGTAGAAATGTGTCATAGTTTGCAGATTATTGACATACTGAAAAAAAGTGAAGTGTACATCTAAAACCTAAGAATATGTGTGCTTAAGGGATACATACCACTTACTCGGTCGCTTCATCTGCATCGTATCTTACAGACAAAGTGATAGTGATACGCTGGCTCGACCAGTGAAATACCACGACAACACAGTAGACAGGCGTTAAGTAGAAGCAATTCCAGGTGCAGTATGACAAGTGTGCGCGTCAAAGGCCTAATTTTAGTCCTCTTTCCTGCCCTTTTCTTAGAAGGAAAGGATGTAAAGGGGCAATAGATTTGACAAAGATGGATACGAATAGGAAGAGGAAATATCCTCTTTCTATGCATTTCCTTCGTCAATTAATGACCAATTAAATCTATTCTTTTTTTTATTTCAAGTCTACAATATACTCTTACGGATACTGTTAATTAGTTTGAATGCGTCTTGAATTTATTTAAAGTAGATTTAACGATAACTACATAGAATCACGAGAAACACATGAAAGTGGAATATTCCACGCCGTGTGCGGAGACATTGTATGTTTGTAGCACACAACTTGTACACTTACTTCTGCGATGTTCAAAGGTTTCTTTAATTAATAGAGAAAACTGACGTTACGGATAATACGAGAGCTGTACTTTAGACTTCAAATTAAAATTTTATAACGGACTAGCTGTCGCACGCGACTCCGTCCGCGTGGATATATAAAAAATCTTAATATATAGATAAGTTAAATAAAAAGTAGCTCTTCAAGGCATAAATTCGAAAAAAAATCACAGATTTTATTGTTAAGCAGCTCTATATTATATCCAAAATAAGGGTCTAAGAATGAAAATCAAAAACAAATGCATTCATTCTTAAGGTATTAAAGATACCTCCTAGCGCCCTAAATATAGAATTTTCTTAAATAAATTCGATTATTTCATTTTAAGAGACGTTTCATCATAGACAAAAATTCCAAAAACCTTCATAGTGGCAACACCATAAAGATCTTGTACTTTGAATAAACCAGCTGTGTTTATTTAGTAAAAATAATCTATAACAAAAATCACTTAACAACCTCAAAGCACCCAAAAGTGACAGTATCAAAGTGACAAAGAAACTTTAATTAATACCATTTTCCACTAGCTTTGATCTTTCTCAGTTAATTTGTGAGTGATTGACGAAAGCAATGTTTACACGCTTTAATAGTTATAGCTTAATTAGTTATTAGCAGATTTCAATCTTACTTTTACGCGATTGAATATTAGTTTGTTTATATTTGCAGAGTAAAATACTTTTAGACCACAACAAGGAAATTATTAGGTGAAAAAAGTATTTAAGTAATCTTAAGTGTCGAATATTTTTCAATAATATGAAAAAGAAACAACACAATTTTTTATTAATACTGGTATTAATTACATAAATAGAGGAGAAAACAAAAAGCCAACATCACGCGGTGTTCCCAGGCGGTCACCCATCCAAGTACTGACCGCGCCCGACGTTGCTTAACTTCGGTGATCGGACGAGAACCGGTGTATTCAACGTGGTATGGACGTTGGCGAAAGCAACTATTAACGTAAGAATCTTATTACTAATACGATAATATCCTTATAAAAAAAAAAGCCAACATCACGCGGTGTTCCCAGGCGGTCACCCATCCAAGTACTGACCGCGCCCGACGTTGCTTAACTTCGGTGATCGGACGAGAACCGGTGTTTTCAACGTGGTATGGACGTTGGCGAAAGCAGAACTTAACTTACAGTCTATAACTTTAGTAACACATACTAATTTATATAAATATAAATAATCAGTATTAATAAAAAAGTTCTTTACCCCAAGATCCAGTGATAAGTGCTTAAAATGTTATCAAAGTAGAATCTCGTCTAAAAACGTTGTAAATATTGTATTATTATAATTCCTACTATAAGCAAACGATGATGTATTGTTGACGACAAAAATATTATTTCAGGGGTTCAGTTCCCTTCAGACAATCAATTACAGGCTCCATCAATCTGTCGCGGACCGAGGAGTGTCACGTCATGACGCAGACATTACTTTGACGTGACGTGACGCGAACCAACGAATCATCGCCAACGCTTCAGTTCTCAGGAAATGATGCGATTGAATGCAGATTTGCAGACGTATATTATATTTAAGTAGATTTTTATAAGAGTAGTAGTCTTTTGTTTTATAAATAGCGACACTTCTTGAAATAAAGCTTTTGATTTGTAATAAATATTTAATCCTTTAAATTCCAAAACTGACATGCTGAACTAAATGTTTTTACCAAAATGCAGCATTCGTAGATAAAGTTATTTGTTATTGATATTTGTTAGATTTGAATCTGTAAATTATAAACGTTTCTAATAACGACTAAGAAATGTTTTGTATGTCCGTTTGTCCGTTGTCTCAAGTTTGTGTTCCGAGTAATAGCTGACACATTCTGTTATATTATATGCAATTTTGCGCTACTGTAGCGTATAACCGCTCGTTTTGAATGACATTGTTTGCCTAGTTATGCAAAAAACTGTAGAATGAAATTGTAAGTATTTTGATTTGACATTTAGATGTTAAGATACAATCAAGACCGTAAGAGTCATCGAAGTTGCTTCTTCTTGGTTTAATATTTGAAAAATATTCACTAAATTTGCATGTAGCTAATTAATAAACCATTTTAGTAATTATTATGCTTTTTATTGTACAAACTGACAAGTTTTATACCCGACATTTGAATTGGCACGTCAGGTACAAGAGTACTCGTGTTCCCGATGTGCCAAATCAATTGAATGGTAGCATAGTATGTCTAAAAACTAACTTTCTTACTGACTTATTTTGAATAGGTATATGACTTTTAATGTACTTATTTGTTAGTTAATTGTAATTAAAAATGAACACTGTCACAATATAACGCACTAAAGGTTTTAAAGAAACTATTGTGGTCACAAATATCGATAAGGTTTTGGATCAACTTCCTTTATACATATGTGTATTAAGTCAACCAACCCGCACTTGGCCAACGTGGTTGACTATGGCCTAATCACCCTTAACTTAGGGTAGGCTCCGAGCCCCTCGGTGGGGACGTATAGTGAGCTGATGATGATACATATATTTATTTTTTCGACTATTATAAATTGTTTAAGGCGAAAGTGAACATAACTAATTCATCATTATTGAACACCAAACGGATAATGATATGAAATTCTAGTGACGTCACCGGGCACGTAATGTAAGTCCTGATAAGCCTTCACCATCATCTGCTGATTGACGACAGCAAAGGGCCTCGGGGAAATGCTTTCTATAGAGGGTAAGGGCCTTAAATCCAAACTGGGTAGGGCATCTTCTTTCGGCCTGATTGTTGTCGGCACAAAGGACGTCTGAGAAATCGTTGGCACGGGGTAACTCATCATATTATTATACATAAACTGATGTTCGGTGTAATTGACGGGAATTTGATAATTTTGATCAGCTCTAGGCTCTATCTCTAGGAATGCATCTCTACTGTATATTGTAGGGTTAGTGTACGTAGTCTCTAATCTGTTCTTCCGACGGGGACGATATTTATAGTCCGGGTAATCGTGCATGTGCTTCAACCTTAACCTCTTCGCCTCATCTATAAACGGTCTCTTCTCCATTTCGTCTAAACTCTTCCATTCGAGGCCAAGTCTCTTTGATATCTCTGAATTGTGTAGTTTCGGATTCATCATCGATATCTTCTTTCTTTGCAGTCTCGACCACACCATGAATGCATTCATTGGTCTCTTTATATGGTAAGGATTTGAATTCCTCGACATTTTCTGCGTTGGTCGCGTCGTTTGTACGTCTATTGGGTACGCCATTAAGTTTTCTTGCTATTTCTTTTGTTTTATCTTCTTTATAACTTAAATCTCGTGAATTTATTGGGACACAATGAAGTCTTCGGAATCTTCATTCTTGTGTGTGAGGTCACATTTCAACACTACGGAACCATTTATGACATACGTTAATTTATTATATAGTCTCATTAAATGGTTTGTGACAATTGTCACTTTCAACGTAACATTTATGTCGATTGAAATAGTTCGCGTTAGCTTAACCGGGGCACCGGCAAGTTTGCACTGATCACCAGTTCGAAGCCAACTAAATCTGACCGCTGTCATTAGACCAACAAAGGCCGCACCACAATGGCAATGACAATTTTCCACGTATTATCTGTCGCTGAATAAAGAGCGGCGACAATGCAGTGATTGCTCACAAATTGTCAAATGATACTGTCGTATGTTTTGTGCGAGGCGCGCCCGCTCTCTGCTCTATTAAAAAGAAGTGGTGCGTACGGTCTACAGAGGAACTCTCAGTGTACAGACAGGACATGACGCATGAAATCATGAGAAGTTTTCAATCTGGTTCTTTCCCTACTGTGTTCAGAATATATTTAGGATGGCAGGAACAACTGAAAGAGGTTATTTTTTTCTGAAACTCTTTAATTTCTTTTTGTTATTTTGTTACCGAGAGATTTTTTCAATGTAACTGTTTCTGAATTTTGTTATTTAACGAATTGTTTACATCATATATTTCTGTTTTACGATTCATTTTTACTTCCTGTCCTACAAATGTCATGTGCCATAACATCAGTGATTAATAGTCGGCCGGCTGTTTTGGAACTCGGGTTTTTGTTCAAAACCATTTAATCAATTTTAAATACGTTTATAATTGAAATCGTTGTACAATATACAAAAGTGGCTGCTTGTGAATGAAAACCACTGCCTCAACTCTCTGGTTTGCGGCAAAGACTTGATTATTGGAGATCAGAGTCCAGAACAAGTCCGAACTCTCAGGGATATAATAAAACCTCTTTCCCCGATACCAGCAATCACATGCTGATATATATTAGATACATAACAGGCAATCCTTCAGTTCATAATTGCATTTCAAAACAACTGCCAACTGACAACGGGTCGAATAATCAGTACATTTTATTGAAGAACTCTTACTAAGTACCTGCTACGTCCGTATTCCCATTCTTGACGAGGATTGAGTGCGGACTACATTGTACTATAATTTCAAAATGTAGCATCATAATATGTCGTATGTTTAAAGTTGGAAAGATCCTTCCTTCATAGATAACTTAGCTTAAAGCTAAAACTTATTTAAAGCAGTCGACAATCGTATGTTTTATCTGTAACTATTTCTCAATTGAAATGTATTACATCGCGATGTTCCAGCATTGTGCGGTAATGGCAAGGTGTGGCTTAATCCCGTCGCAACGCATTGCCGGCAGCTGCTCGATTTGCCAACAAACAGATCAATAGATCGAGTCCACCTCGACACCGGACAATGCACAATCGAGAATATAGAATTGCGTAAAGTTATCTATTTGTGACCATTGTTAGTTTACTTGCAATGAGAATCTATACTGTAAAATTGACAGCAACTTAATCTGTATCAAGTTATATTTTTAATAAGTATCCGTATATTAATTCTTACATTAATTCCCGTTTAATCGGTGGTAGGTACCCTAGGTGTTTTAAAATTTTTAGTTATAAGATTTTTTGAACAAAATACTAGCGACATCTATCGTCAATTTTATTACTCAAAAAACAAAAATGAAAATGAAACAAGCAACTTCGTTGATCGATACACTCGTTATATTTAATAATCATTTATCTAACTGTATATACCAACATTCAAAATATTTTTATTTGAAGAGTACTCGATTGCACTAAAAGTTTTTACAGCGACATCTAGTTTCGCATGTAGATATCATAACGAAAAAACGTTTTTCAATTTCGTTAAAACTAACCAATGTAACACTAGATGGCGCTATCCATATTAAATTGATATAACCCAAGGGTTTGCCCACTAGATGTCAATACATGCAACGTGACAAATATTTCAAAGTGAAAAACTAATTCATATCGTTTTATAAATTACATAAAAGCATAAAAAGAAAACAAAAAGCCAACATCACGCGGTGTTCCCAGGCGGTCACCCATCCAAGTACTGACCGCGCCCGACGTTGCTTAACTTCGGTGATCGGACGAGAACCGGTGTGTTCAACGTGGTATGGACGTTGGCATACGGAAAGGTGAAATTAATTGTTAATAAAATTGAAAAAATCTGTCAACACATGTGGTTTTTGTATCTTTAAAAACACTAAAAAAATATTTCGATTTTATTTGAATAAGTCATGATATGAAGCTCCAAGTTTAGGACTAGGGTCTAGACAGCGCAAGCTTGAGGAAAGTAGAAATTTTAACGTTAGCGGCCATGGTCCAATTGTGGTCGTTGGTTCACTCTAGTTATTTATCATATACTAAATAATGAACCTAGGCTTAACTACTGCTGCAATGTATTTCCTCCTAAATACTTCAATAGGTTAAATATTATATGAAATATATAATTTATAATATAAGATTTAAATTCATAAATAAAATGACACTTGTGTATAAATGATAAACACCGTGAAATTTATGTCAGAAGTCGTAAAACTGGTGCAAGCCCACCTCGACAAGGGGCCACTTTGTAAATCACTGGAGACATAAAGGGGGTATTTAAGCTGCCATATTTATGAAAATAAGATCCTATAAAGCTATAATAGAAGATACAAAAAGCGACCGCTCGGCAGCGTCGCGAGGGAAGTGTCCAAGACTTTTATATGTCACGATACGATAAATCGGTTCACTTTTCTGAACCTAGTCAAGGCAATAGAAAATAGGAAACTCCTCCACTGACAAAGACAATTTCGTCCTTATGATGATAAAGCTTTGATTATTACTAGGAAAACAATGATAATTTTAGCCTAACCGATTTTTTTAAACATTTATTTTTGTAAAACTTACTAATCTTGTTTATTATAATTATCTTGCTAAATATAATCATGACGGTAACATATTTAAAAATGTATAAAAATATTTAAAGAATCGTATAGTGTAAAGGGACCTTAAGTCTTAACTTATTGTTATTGCGGATTTTAAGCTTCAGTTTTATGTTTGATATCGTCGGCCGCGGCGCTCGCCCACCTATTTATGTTTATATAGATTTATTGTCAGACACTTGCCAAGAAAATGGCGGCGAAACGTATATACAATGCTGTTACAAGAACTCAAATAAATTAAAAAACAAATAGACTTGCTTTATCATTTTAATATTAATCTTGAAGTTACGTAATTACTTAATTGAAAGTAATTACAACATTTTGGCTTCAAAAAGCTCTATTTCCTTTATTATTTCCATATACATTTATTTATCATATTTTTAATATAGTTCATTTCATATCCAAAAATATATATAAATATACAAAACATATTATATTAAAAACAGAACACCACCGGCTGCGGAGTCCCATGACTCAAACAGCCAGTGGTCAGGGCTGCAGAGACAGGAACCTTCTCACGATGCGCGCGGTTTCTAGGATAACTGCCTTTTGTATCGGGCCCTTAATACAACTGTGTAGCGAGAGCTTCTTGAGATGGTGGTCGAAGCTCTTCGCTATCATGGTATCACTCCCCCGACCCCAGAAACATCCAGTGGCGCAGTCATTGTGGGGTCGCCTTTACCGGCCACTCCGTCTACAACACTGCACGTATATACAATGTTAACTACGAGCAGTGGCCGCCCATCATCGGCTCGCTTGGAGGATGCGAGGATGAATTCCTCGCCTATGGCTCCCGCAACCAGTGGTGTAGTGCGACGCATCAGATGGCATTTGTTTAGTGAAAATGTCATGCGGGCATACTTCGGGGCGACAGAGGGTGGAATCAATCTCACGTCGTATCGGCCTAAGATGCTGTCTTTGTTACTCTACTATTATATGTTGTCTACTCTATTATTATATGTTTATTGTTATTATTACGGAATCTATTCCGGAATGTTTATAGGATGTATAAAATAAATCATTCATAAACAAGTTGCAAAAATCACAGAATTAATCTCGTAAATTCACTTGAAATAGGTCGGTTAAGTCGCAATAATACAAATGATTATACATTCAGAGCACACGACCCCGCAACAAACAAATAAACACAAATGCGAGCGAATAGAATGGAGTGAAATGTTATTCCACACCCTGTATAATAAAAATGTCTCTTGTGCTGTATAAGAATTGTACAATGCACGAAATAACTCACGATATGTCATAAAATTTACAGAACTATGCCTTAAAAACAAACTTCTTACGTCATACTAACATCATAAAGTACGTTTCACTAAAACGGCTAAACACAATTTCAATGGAATTTAGCACCGATTTAGAACAGAGTCTGGAAGAAAAAAGTTATCTTTTAAATCCGGGCCGACGAAGTCGCGGGAAAAAACTAGTTTTGTTTAATACTATTTATAATATAAATAACAAGGAATACAACTAGATGTTTTAAGATGCGGATATATTTTAATATAAATTACAATTATCCTGAGAGCTATCTCTGAGATAAAACTGTGGTGTGTATCTTGTGTTCCGCGGGTCTCCTTTATGTCGGCATTGATAGGATATTTTATTTCCTACCCGTTCAATAGCAGACGCCGTGTGGGAGGCCCTTTGTGTCTCTGCTCCATTTACATACAACATATATGAATATTCTCTTCAATAATATTAATAATAACTTATAATTTTCAGTAAATACATTAGAAAGTTGTGTTTAACTCACTTGTAATAGCATCATTACTTGAAATTTAATGGCATCTTTTATTAGTTTTAAAAATCTATAAATGAGCTGTCCGGTTTGTATGTATCCAATCATCATCAGCTCACTATACATCCCCACCGAGGGGCACGGAGCCTACCCTAAGTTGAGGGTGATTAGGCCATAGTCAACCACGCTGGCCAAGTGCTGATTGGTTGACTTTTCACATATCTTTGAATTTCTTCTCAGTTATGTGCAGCTTGCATCACGATGTTTTCCTTCACCGTAAGAACGTCGGATAAATGTACATATGTAAATCGGAAATCGAAAGACACATTGGTACATGGCGGGATTCGAACCCAGGACCTGCAGATTGCAAGTCAAGTGCTTGACCCCTGAGCCACCGACGCTCGAATGTACAGAATGAAAACATTCAAAACGTATGGAATGAAAACAAATGAACATCTCCGGCAATAAATTCCCAAAGGCAAAGCCTAATTTTAGTTCACGTTCCTTTCCCACTTTTTTCTTACAAGGAAAATGGAGCGGAGGTGAGGACGCTTTGGGAGGGGAAATATCTTCTTTCTGTTCGTCTCCCCCTCCGATGATTAAAGGTAGGCGAGGCAACACACCTGCAATCACAGATATCTATAGGCCGCGGTCACTTCACTATTTTGTTGAGTTTCGGTGGCCTCTTGCAAGTTTGTCGCCTTATAGTAGAAATAATAGAACGACATCTCTTTATGTATTTAAAATTTAGTTTAAGAGACATTTGCGAAATAAAGAATGTACGGAATTTTCTTTCCTTTTGGGAAGAAAAATTAACGGTATTAATACAATAGCAAAACTGTATGATATTGTTTGACTCTTAATAACGCTTAATTGTTAGGAAGAAATTTGTCTGCAGCATTGTAGCGTCAATGTATCGTATTCATACCAAACAATGCGTGAATGCCCCCTCTACGCTGTAGGCGCTACACCGCGCATATTGTAGCCCCGAGCTACGATACGTGACTTGCCGCTACGACCGATACTCGTATATAAAAGACGACAAAACGAACAAAGCCCAACGAATATTTGATACTGTTATTATAAGTTATTCAGATCCAGTAATTACTAAGTAATATATTAATAAAATGTTTATTTTAGTCACTTAACGCAGGATAGACAAAAAAAACTAGAATTATGACACCTAATAATGTTTAGTTCTACTTCTTCTAATCTTCCGCTCAATCTATTATTAACTACCTGTCAACCGTGACACCGTCCGTGCAGAAATAAAAAAAAAACATAATTAAGATCTGTTCAGCAGTACTGGAGATACCTTAAACATCCACCCATCCATCTAACATGCGCATGATGAATGCGCATGATGATGATGATGAAAGATGATTAATCTATATTTCACAACACTATAGCGTTTGTTTTCATTTCCATTAAATTCATAATTAGTTAATATTACAATATAATGAAGTTAAGGTAAATACAGTTACCGGTGCGGGCGTGCAGTAAAAGCGGTGTTGAGAGTGATGGCGATGGCGGCGAGATGCCGGCGGCGAGGCGGCCACCCGGCAAAATGCCGCGTAACGCGATATTGTCACGCCGCCGGATTGTTTTATGTACACATACAGACATAAATGTAAACAATTAATACATCTAAAGAGCTATTGACTATGTTATACAGCTCATAGTTATATGTTTATGTACAACTGACACATATACAATTAGCACAAAAAGGCTAGTAATTTCACATATAGAGCTCAATCAACATGATAAAATGGTATTACATTTTATTAAAATATTGAAACCAACTTTTTATATGATAAGGTGGCACATTTAAATTCGCCGAAATAGCGAAGCGACCTCTACTCCAACATCCGCAAGTGCATATGCGTTACCTACCTTTAATGGTCGGAGGGGGGGTCGCACAGAAATATCTCTCATTCCTATGCGTCCATTCCTGCATTGAACGAACCTCTCCTTCGCATCCTTTCCTTATAAGAAAAGGGTGGAAAGGGGAAAAGTACTAAAACCTCCGGCATTAACTTATTTATTCATAAAAAGTGTATACTATAGTACCTAAGTAGGAAAATTTAAAAATAAAAACATCTTTATTGTTTAAATGCAGTTTACACACACTGCGGCTTTGTCATAAATTGAAAAAGAAATTTAACATTAGACAACCGCTTGTAGTACTAACCATGTAAGCATAACACACTAACATAAGTTAATTAAAATTTTTTGAAACAATTATAACAAGATATTTATAAACTTATATAAAAAAAGGGTAAACACTCACGTATATTCGTCCGGTGGCGGCACCGACTAGTTTCGAGCCCATCGGAGGCCCTTCATCAGACTGAGTGGGATCCTATTATCCGTAAATTTGTCGGTGCCGCCACCGGACGAATATACGTGAGCGTTTAGCAGTTTTTATATAAGTTTATTATAATATCTCACGAATGTTTGAATGAGATATTTATAGTTAAGGATAATAATAAAATTTTGTCAATATTTGTGTACGCGAGTGTACCACGCACAGGGGTAACTGAATCACCGGCGAGGCTCTATTTCAATTTGACGCGCAACCGCCAGTCACCAGACAAGCGGCCGACACAACCTTCACACAAACATTTTTGTATCAACAATAACCTTTATACTAAGGTTTTGTAAATTTTAAATTAACTTTTTGGAGAATGTTACTTAGGTTCTTGAAAATAATTAAAAGATATACATCCATGTTATAAACTATACCAATTATTAAAGTATTATAGTAATTGAGAAAAGAGCCATGTGGTAACCATCAGACGTAATCTTACTAATATTATAAATACGAATGTTTGGAAGTATGGATGTTTGTTAGCAAGCATCTCCAACACGGCTCAACGGATCTCGATAAAATTTGGCATGGATTTAGATCGTAGTCTGGAAGAATTAAGTTTTTTTTAAATTCCGCGCAGACAGAGTCGCGGGCGACAGCTAGTAAAGTAAGTAAAAGAGTTGCGTAAAAAGGGAGAAAATTAAAATATAGCTGGTAATTTATAAAAGAGTAGTGACGTACAATCCCACTGTATTATGAGAAATTAAACCAAACAAAATCTGTATACAATTGTGGTATAGTGGTGTACGCAACGCATTAGCATAAAAGCTGCTCCTGTATTTGGACGACGTGCCCTATAATTACTTGCAGATGAGGTGTCCATTAGGCGGCATTCAGGCGGGCTTGTTTGACCGCGGACCGCCTCATGCAAATTCGCGGCCGCGTCGCTTGAATGCAGAGAATATGTCGTGCTAAAGAACACTTCGTTTCATTTGACAACTGTATATGCAAACAGAAGCGTGGGTTTTCATTGCTGAAAAACATATACCAAAACATAATTGTCTCTTTGTGTAAAGCGAGTTAAAGGTTAACATTTGTTTGAGTTTTGTGCCAATGTAAACCACTACAATTTTTTCATATCTATTGTATTTTTGAACCTATATATATACTTTCATTTATTCCTATAATAGTTTTGAAAATTTATAAAAAAACATCATATTTAATTACACCGTTCTCTTAGTTACATAATATAATAATTAATTTAACTGACGATTATTTATTAAGTACCCACATAATAATTCTGGCTTATATAATGTCTGAATTTTAATTTTCCTTTACATAATATATTGAAAATTTAAAATAATTTATTTGAATAGTAACTACTACCTATTTAACAACATATTCGCTTATTTCTATGCCTGCTCATTTATTTCAAAGTAAAATATTATAAGTATTCAGTTTCTAAACTAGAAAATCTTGTTGGCACACAGACAGATGTGTAACATGTATGTAGATGCATCCACACCAGTGTAGTCTCAGAGGCAGTGGCTCAATCTGCAATGCGCGTTGCCGCTCTCCAACGCCTCATACATTTCAAATTGTCGCCATCCAATTACGCGGGTCGCGTTTTTCACTAAACGAAGGTTGCGGTACAAAAAACCGAATTTAATCTCGCTAATAAACATGCTAACAAGAAGTCGGGTCACCTGTTGCTTGCCGCGAGACGATCGTCTAGCCATCCAATCATAAGCCAGCGTCCGCCCTACGCCACTTCTCATTGGCCAATTTAATTTAAGGGGGGGCAAACGCGAGGGGGGGAATAAACCGAGGCCGCGACACAAACCGTGGCACAAGCGAGAAAAGCGGCGCATTGAGCTTTCGGGAGCTTTTCACCGGCGCGGCATTTTTCAATCACGACGACTTGTGTTATTATTGTTTTTAACAATAAAATTAACATAAAAAAATATTTTACTTCTATAACTCGCTGAATACTAACTGAATTTAATCGAGAAATAATGTATGGACAAAAGTGTATCTAGAATTTAAAATTTAAAAGCAAAGTATTATATACCAGTGAACTATGTCTCTCGGCAAGCAGCCCGCTGAGCACATCAAGCGGCCCATGAACGCGTTCATGGTGTGGTCGCGCGGCCAGCGCAGGAAGATGGCGCAAGACAACCCTAAGATGCACAACTCAGAGATCTCGAAACGTCTCGGCGCCGAGTGGAAACTGCTTACGGAGATGGAGAAACGACCCTTCATTGACGAAGCAAAGAGGTTAAGGTGAGCTGATATCATTTAACCATTATATCTGTAAAGATGTTTATTTAATAAAATAACCTTATAAAATTCTCTTTATAATGATGGTTTTATCCAGTAAAAAAAATCTTTTCATTAATAAAAGAAAATAATCGTACATTTGATGTGACCACACGTCGGAAAAAACTTAAACAGTCTATGTCATTTATTATTAAAAACAAATGCGTAACAAAAAGTCATGCGTAATTAAACAAGACCAATAATTAATCTGTTAAATATACAGTAGAGTTATATATTTACATACAAAATGGTGATGAAATCTGTTGCATTTTACACATTCCGAAATAAAGAGCGTAAAATTAAATTAGTAATTATCTCTTAAATATATCTTTTCAAGTTAAACTTTCCTGTTACAAATATACGTAGAACTAATTATAATATAAAAGATAGTAAGTTATTTTTTTAAGGTTATTAATAACATCTTTTTACATCGCGATCCTTGAGATATAGTAACTCATAGACATAAAAGGAAGCGTAGAAAATTACATTATCTTATATCTTTAAATGAGCAATTCTTGTGTATATATATATATATATATATATATATTATAATTGGAATCTCAGAATCGGCTCCAACGATTTTCATAAGATTTAGTATATAGGGGGTTTCGGGGGCAATAAATCGATCTAGCTAGGAATCGTTTTTAGAAAATGTCATTTTATTCGTGTTTTATCGATAATCAACTTAAACATAAACTTAACTTTTTCTATATATTTCTTTATAGAAAAATATTATTCACATTTCATGATTTTATTAGTAATTCGTACTTAAATATAATATAATATAATTTTCAAAAAACGCAATTTAAAAAAAAAATACCGAGCAAAGCTCGGTCATCCGGGTAATAAATATATTATAAAACGAAAACTTTATATTCAGTAAGAAGTAAAGCATTTAATTTGAAGAAATTTGAAGTTACTGTGGTCCATAAAGCTATGGTCTAATGTGCGATCACAAGTTTTAAATAATAATTTTCTCTTATAATTATAAATCGAATGATTTCTATAAACCTTTTCGGAGCCTGACTTAGAATCAAACAGAAAAACTTCACCGTCATCCTCATAACATTTGTGAGCAATAGTAATCAACTTAAACATAAACTTAACTTTTTCTATATATTTCTTTATAGAAAAATATTATTCACATTTCATGATTTTATTAGTAATTCGTACTTAAATATAATATAATATAATTTTCAAAAAACGCAATTTAAAAAAAAAATACCGAGCAAAGCTCGGTCATCCGGGTAATAAATATATTATAAAACGAAAACTTTATATTCAGTAAGAAGTAAAGCATTTAATTTGAAGAAATTTGAAGTTACTGTGGTCCATAAAGCTATGGTCTAATGTGCGATCACAAGTTTTAAATAATAATTTTCTCTTATAATTATAAATCGAATGATTTCTATAAACCTTTTCGGAGCCTGACTTAGAATCAAACAGAAAAACTTCACCGTCATCCTCATAACATTTGTGAGCAATAGTAAAAGGGTTTAATTGTTTGTTTTAATAGTTTTAAATACAAAAACAAGCAAATTATTCAATCATATTAAACTAGTTAAAGTCATTCCCCACACACCTAGAGTAGATTTGATAAAATTGATAGTAAAAAGAACCATACAAAGAACAACTTAAAATAAACCCCACGGGATGATAACAAGATTAAACAATAAGTATTTGAATTAAGAAACAAACAATCCATCCAGCCAGCGACGTCTACCACAGACTAAAACAAACACGACACGAAAACAACGTATTTAATCTGTGATACACATCTTATTATCTTTTTAATTCCGTATCACATGTAAACAGAGGCTGACAAAACAGCCAACACACCTGTAAGTTATCACTGTGAGAGACAAAAAGGTTTTATTTGAGCTAGCATTGCACCAGGCGGCCATAAATGAACAGTGGTACGATTGTACCGCAAATAAATGCCCGGATGTTTGACACGTTAACAACGGTCTGATAATATTTTTTTTAATTAGTTGGATGCCGTATGTTGACTGCAAAAAATATAAACTACATAGTTCTAACATTTAAATAATTTTAAGCCACACGATGTCTGATTTACATTAACCCAGTAAAACGGGACAGCATCGTTGGCCTGGCATGGACGGTATGGGCTCACTGGCGCCAGGTAGTACTCACACTATTCCAGTTGTATGTCAGCGCTGATTTTGAGCGCTACTGCCTTACTGTACTGGTATAATGTAAATCAGGTATGATTACACTACTGAGAGGAATATAACTAGACCCAGATAATGCTTGTTTTACGGTACTTTATACTTACAAAATGTATAATATTAATAATTTTTAATATAATAGTAGATCAGTCTCGGGGAACAATTAAAAGGGATTTAGTAATTAAGAGATTTATAAGATGAAAGTGTGTGAATTATTTTATTAGATGTGATATATAATGCCACAGTTATAAAGATTAAGATTATTAATTGGTAAAAAACAAATAAATAAAGTGAAAATTACCAGAATCCGTAGGAATCTCATAAAAATGATTGATCCACGAAGTTAAAAACGTTGGTTAATAAAGGAACAGGATTAAAAATTAAATTAAATTAGATTCAAAGTGTTTTTTTTTGTTTAAAAACCGATGAAACGCATAAAAAAGACATCAGAAACAAACATAATGCATAAACCCGTCCCCTAATTCCCACTAATCACGATCCTCGGAGCAAATCGCAACTTAACAAATCAATTTAATCTGTGAGAACACCGCCGGCGCTGGAGTGGGACAATTATCTATTATTCATAGTAATATCTTGCATTGTTAGGGGCGAGCGCGTTATCGGGGTGGAGCAGGGCTATAAAAACCAGCTTATGCGTTCGGTCTAGCTCTTTGTAAAGGCTGGCCGCGTCGGGGAAGCGAATTTGTTTGTTTGCGAACTGACTCCAAGTTTGATGCTCAAATCGGTTTTTGAATGAGATTCTTAATTGGTTATTTGTTTTATACTATTAAAAGTGCATATTTTATATTCGACTTTTCGTATTTAACTTTAGTCACCACGTCGTTTTGATTTTAATAATGTTGCAACTAGTAAACTTATAAAGTGGTCTACCTTTTTCCTTTTTTTCATTTGAAGAGTATTTTTCCTTTTTATTTTTATCTTTGGATGTCGCCAGCTACAAGCTTTAGTAAAGTTAGTAACACTAGTAGTAGTAATGTAAGGCACCACGAGCGGCTCGCTATCGGTCACCACAATGCTCGGAGACGCGCCTCTATTTGTGTTCCTATTTAATTTTTATCGTCGACTATTTGATAGCTGCATACAATCGAAAACGGCTGGCCACACAACGCCATAGATAATAAAGGCTAAGATAACGAAATTATATTATTTGTCTTAAAGAAAATTATTCCGGTGTAGTTTTATTAAATTAAAACTGTAATAACCGTATTAAAAATGTTTTTTTTTAATTAGTTTTTACTGTTGTAAATTTGACCAGCCTCTTTTATGGTCGCCTGGTTTAAGTCGCGGCTCCAGCCCATTCTAAGATGTATTAACTTACGTTGACTGGAATTAAGACACCCACCCGTGTTCAAATAATTTGAACAACACTATATCGTACTAAGTTATCAACACTTTAATACCTACTTCATCGCTTAATGCACTTAAAAATGGATCTTGATAGACGTACGTTTTTTCCTTTCGAGGTACGGAACCCTAAACATATAAAACAAGGAACGGAATAAGGCAATAAATCATATAAATCCAACACAGTCATAATATTGACCATCAAAAGGAACAATTTCAATATTATAAACGAAATAAAGCGTCGCCTCATATCGATATCGATGTTTGTCCAACTCGATTAACTCGGACGAAGATACGCCAAAAAGTGTCCGATAAAAAATAGATAGGATTTTTCTTGGGCGAGATATTTTGTTATTTTCCTTGCGCTTATCGTGTTTATTTGGCTCGCAAACACAGTAATGAAGGAATTGATAGTGCGCCGGTCGACGACCCCTGACTTTTTTTCAGAAGACGTTCGTAGAATCGATACGTGTTTGCATTCGATATTGTATCGAATGAATGGAGCAAAAAATTGATATTAGATAAAGTGGAATAAGACATGTTTGATATTGGATTTATATTGTACAGAATATAAATTCATGTTAAACATTTTTAAAGTTTCTAACAAGTCATGTATGATTTTTTAACCTCACTTTAATTTAGATTAAATTTTTGGCATTATGCATAATGCTTTTGTATAATATTTTTCATGAGATTTTACATTTTTTTTTCTTTTTTTATTGAGTAGAGAAACTGATATAAAAAAACAAATGCCGGCCAATAACATCCTCCACAAACTGTAAGTAGTTATATAGGAATATTAAATGTACTCTGATGTGAATGAAGTCAGATCTGCAACTAATACTCAAATAAAAAATCAGACAATTTTAATATTTTTTTATATAATTAAGTATTAAAATAATTCTTATTTCAAATAAGATTTCTATATTGTTTTATAATTTGTGTTAATTTGTACATAATTAATACAAATGGTTTAATTTCAAACATTTTTATTTAACTACGGAAATCCCAACGGTTTTATAATGAAAAAAAAAAACAAACAAACAAAAGACTATCACATATAACAGTACAAGCATCCATTCATTTAGTGTTATGTTAAGAAATATGATTTTTTTTTTCGTTTTATAAGCTAGCGCTTGACCACGATCCCACCTGGTGAAGTGGAGATTTGGTCAAAAGATGGTACGCGCTAGCTTAGTAAGTGCCTATTCACTCTACTTTTGAAGGTCCCAATATCATATTTGGACGGAAAAACAGAAGCTGGCAACTTGTTCCAATCCTTTGCGGTGCGCACAAGGAAGGAAGGAAATTAGTCATTGTATATGTATTATGAAAACAGTAAAATTAATAACATTGTTATTTCAATCGCTAAGTTAAAATCAATTAACTCTATTAGCATTATAATGATATAAAATCAAACTGTTCGCTTTATTATCAGCCAGTCTAATCACACGGAAAATACAATGCAAATAAATACATTGTACAAACAGTGCTCGTAACCTCAGCATTCGGCACTCGAACTATCGTCCGCCCTCCGTCCACTCGAATAATTACAATCGACTCGCTGACAATCGCGCGATTCTATCACAAAGCTCGCATAATCGTGCGCTGTGTCGCCGCGCTGCACAACACTATAGATCTCATGTAAAGATACCGCCGGCCGAATTTAAACCTTATGTCAGATGAATATAGTTCATTATATATTGTGATTGAATCGTACATAGTGAAGGGTATAGAATAACAGTCGATTGTGATTCGGACAATGCAATAATCCGTGCATTGTTGAAACGACATTGTTGTTTTAAGGGCGGCGCGCGCTCGCGACAATTGTGCGCTTTATTGCATAAATAATAATGTTACTATGGTCGGTGGCCGGTGGCATTTCATTGTCAGTTATTTTGACTTATCTTTGGTTTATGACACTAAAATCCTTCTATAAAACATATCATATAAAAAGAGGGGTTAAAGATAAGTTTCATACAGTGACTTTGTTTTCAGAAATCAACGGTTATAGCATTTGCGGACACTAATTATGCGATTGGAAACCGTCAAACAGTAAAACTAATGCCTTTTGACAGATAATCTACTAAAAACCGCATTTGCACGTCTTCTAATTAGCTAGAACTGTTAGTAATTTTATTTATTCCCGCAGAGCACTACATATGAAAGAGCATCCTGACTACAAATACCGGCCACGGAGGAAACCCAAGGCGCTGGTGAAGAAGGAACCGAAGTTCGGCTTCGGCATCAGCGGTCTTATGGCGCCGGTGCCGCGGCTCTTGCCTCCCTCCCTGCCGCACCCTGTGCCGCAACTTCCCGTACCCCACCACCTGCTGCCCGACAAACCCGACCTCGGCAGGGCGCTGTTTCCGCCACTACCCTATCCTTTCTATCCCTTTGCGAAGTTACCCTCGGATGATGGGAAGTTGGCTGCTGAGCTGGCGCATTTACAGGTACACTATATAAAAACCTAAAAACTAAAAAAAAATAGAGGATCATATGATAGGTATATAACTATCCAACCAAGACTAAGTGTAACATGGTTTGTGACTGTGTGGGACTGGTCTTTGGCCAAGTTGCGTAAATAAGCTCGTGCCCTATTATTAACTTTTGACTAATGTTAATTTAAAGGCATTCTTAACACCATATTCAAACAGTCTTTTATCCGCAGGCACTATACGGTGGCGCGCTGTACAGTAGCGCTTTCTACAGCAACGCCCTCTCCCCCTGCGGCTGTCCCCCGAGGAGGTCGCCCTCCCCTCCCCCGGACGTCAAGCGCCCCGTCGCCTACGTACTCATGAAGAGCGACGAGGAACCGCCCCAGCATGTTATATGAAGGCCAGTGCCGCTCCCGGCCCGGCCCCTGCCGCACTGGGAGCGTCCCTCCACTTCCATGCAGGAGAGAGACAGCCCTGACAGTGTATAAGGTGAGAAAATTGAGACATCGATTTTCCTCAGGACATTAGTGGTGTACTCAAGGGAAGAGACAACCCTAATCGTATGAGAAAACCAAGCAATTCTCGTGAGATTGACAGCCCTGGTAGTGTAAAACTGTTGAAGACATTAGTGGTGAAAAACTTTAGTTCTTACATGGGGGGATTAAAAAGGCCCGACAGTGTGGGATAGGACTGAACTGTTTGTGTTGTTGACAAGTCCGACTAACATTTTTTGTGAAATGGTCCTTAATTGTGGTTGTCGCTGTTGAATCTATTGACAATATCATTGGTATTTGACAGTGGAAGTATCAAGTGTTAATTACTTTAGTGTAAAGTTTTATGACGTAGCCGATCCGAAGTGTTCTTCCAATGGGATATGTGTAATCATAGCTAAGCATTTAAGTTTTTATTAAACTCGTATAGAATATCGATGTTATATTTTGAATTAGTAAGTGGAAATAAACTATAGATTGATTTTAAATGGCTAAAACTATAGTAGTGCCAATTTATTAAGATCTTATTTGACATCCATCCTTTAGCTTTTAGCCATAATTTAGTTTCATATTGAAGAGACCTGCTTAAAACATTGATTAAAGCAAATCAATTCGATTTCAAACACATATGATTTGAATTCAGTTTTTTGTAACATCCCCAGTGTTTTAAAATTAAAAGGGTTCTATGACGCAACATTGTAACGGCGTTCAATACTTCTTATGTATAATACAATAAAATATGTAATTTGAAAAAGGTGATTGTACAGTTCTAAATTCAAAAAATAAATAATATTTTATCCCGCCGTTACAAGGTTAGGTTATTGAATTATGATGTAGCGTCAAATAAAATCTATTAAATTGGCCCCGCAATAGTGTGTTTATTGCGCTTCAAAATACTCTGTAAAAGTTTGTCATATTTCGTTGTTTTAGTATAATAATAATCGTGTTTATTATTTCATCTGACATTTTATTTCATATTAATAATAATATAAAATATGGCAACTAAAAATATCCTCGTTATGAATTACGTTCTTTTTGTTTATTACTTTTTGTTACTTTTATATTTTTTTTATGATGATTTAAGATTTTAATTTGTTTTTTATCTCTCACGATATAGTTTGATTAAGAATTTAACATATCATATAGTTATAATTAACTTAATATTGAATCTATCAAACTTAAGCAATCAATTCAAAGTAATTTTATGACACAGTGCTTAATACTTGGCACCTTTTACAATATTTTACAGGCCTCGATCGATTAAGCTCTATACACACCTCCCACTGAGGGTGTGTAGGATTTTTACTGTAAGTAAAACTGTACAGTTCTCAATTTTGCCTACACACGTAAGTTATAACTGAACAATTGAACTGTACAGTAAGTTAAAACTGTTCGGTTTAGTTAACACTGTGCAGTTAACACTGAAGATGTATCGGGCTTTATTCTTCCAAGAAAATTTTAAATGTAATATGAAACAAAAAACAGTTTATGATAGTTTTTTTTAACATTCCAGTTGCTCAACCGAATAGTTAAATAATATATTAATCTCTCATCAACCATTATTAAACCTCGATTATCCAAATAATTGTATAACCGTGAGTTTTCACTGCAAATATTCTGTTAAAAAAAAGATAACTATATGTTATCTGTATGTTTCACAGTGGAAACTCATGATAACATGCTGCAGATTATAGCGTATTGTAAATAATTATTAGGCAAAACATTTTGTAAAAAATATTATTAATATTGTTAATGTAAGGAAAACAAACTCTGTTTTAATATGTTCGATTGATTTTGTTGTCTTTAGAAAAGAATCTAGTTTGTAAAAATTATAAAGTTGTTTTAAATGGGGCATTTTTTTATTTCTGTTTAATTTAATTTGTGTAAATATTATTTTCTGTTCATCATCATCATGATCAGCTCGCTATACGTCCCCACCGAGGGGCTCGGAGCCTACCCTAAGTTAAGGGTGATTAGGCAATAGTCAACCACGCTGCCCAAGTGCGGGTTGGTTGACTTCACAAACATCTTTGAATTTCTTCTCAGATATGTGCAGGTTGCATCACGATGTTTTCCTTCACCGTAAGAACGTCGGATAAATGTACATATGTAAATCGGAAATGGAAAAACACATTGGTACATGGCGGGATTCGAACCCAGGACCTGCAGATTGCAAGTCAAGTGCTTGACCACTGAGCCACCGACGCTCTATTTCCTGTTCACAAAATGTTAATAATAAAATAAAAGTGCAACGGTATTTTTTATTTCATTAATTCGATAAATATCAGTTAATCAAAGAGAAAAATATTCTTTTGTTATGATTAATTTTGAAAAACATTTATGTTATAAAATAATTACGTATTAGTTATTGTTTTGTTCAAATTGCATATAATTATTTACTATGTGCTCCCACCGACTGTATGATAGGGCTGTAATGAAAAATGTTTAAATAGCAATTGTTAGATCCTAGTTTGTTTGTTGTTATAATTTTATATCAATTTGTTTTACATCAATTTAAATAATAATAAGGAAATGTATAATAAATTTAATAAATTTAAGTTTTTGTATCAGGGTTTTTTGAGTTGGAAATAAAAAGACTACGCTACAAGTAAATTTTAAAGAAAATTTCTTTGTGTTTTATTAATTACCAATTGAATTAATTTTACTAAATGCTAAGCGCAGGGAAAAAACTACGTAATGTAGTTGTAGAAGTTTCTTACCGTTGGTTTCTAACACCAAATTCTCTGTATAAAACATACCGGCCATTTTGATCTTAAAAACCCACGGTAAATATTATTCTGTCAAGACTAAACTTACTGAGAGTCTATACAAAAGATGATCAATATTAAAAATAAAGTCAAAATAAGTAATAATAGTGTAAAAACAGCAAAGATAATCGAAATAGACATGTGTTCGTTGTTCGTCAGTGGAGTGGCACTCGAGGCGCCGGCCGCGCGGCAACATCTTTAAAAACAACGAGGGAGAGAAATTAATCCGGAACGCACTCGATTATCGACGAATAAACACTCGCACCAATGAACAATGAAGAGACACGCACATGTTCAAATATAAACCAACGAAGCGACTGCCATCAAGATTAACTTTTTTTAATAAAATCATAAGATTCTATCAACATCTTTCTTACTAATATTATAAATGCGAATATTTAGATGGACAGATGGATGTTTGTTTGAAGGTATCTCCAAAACGTGTGCACAGTTCTTGCTGAAATTTAGTATAGATGTAGAACATAGTCTGGAAGAACACATAGGCTACTTTTTTTTAAATTACAAACGAAATGAGTCGCGAGTGACAGCTAGCAATGTATACTTTACATTGAAGAACTAATCTTAAATGATTACATCGTAGTATCTTCCTTCTTCTTTGTGCTTTGTTGAGTTAACAAAATATCTCTGACTACTCAGCTCAGTTTTGTATCAACTTCAACCATGTTCAAAGTCAAAGACAACCAATGTAGAAAACATAAACATATCTGTCATAATTTAGGTTAGAAAAAGGCGAACTACGGGATGTTGCAAAGTTAAAAATACCTCTATCCCCTCTATTTTGAATCCGTAGCTCTTCCCTACTAAAGATAAATAAATACCCCTTCCTTAAAAATAATCGTGTATTTACGACGTGGTTAATAAAATTAGTTACAGCTTTGCCGATCATTTTTTATTTGGGCTCTATAAAAAAACAATAACACAGAGTTAGGTCCGCAATCGCCCGCGTTTACAGATTAGATGAGCCACTGCGATGACGTAGGGGGCCGATACTGGGGTTTTTACCATCTAATAGGGTAACAATAATGTCTGGACATTTATAGACCCAATCTGACTTAAGCGATAGATACTTTTTCATTTATTAAGAGTAATTAGAAGTGATTAAAAACACACGTATACCATAAACTAAACACACAATGGACCATTGTTTATAATAATTTTTAATATGTTAATAATATAATTAAAATAAATAAGAAAAATGTCGCTCAACGTAGATGCCGTGTCGTGTAAGCTTTTCACTTACTGAGACTTTTATCCTCAAATGATGGTCACCGCAGTCTAACCCCATAAATAAACACCCTTTAGCAACTAATTGTTGAGGCGGTGAGCGATCGCGTTTCAGTGAGACATTCCGCAAATTTTGCAGCGATCCTCTGTTATCTTTATCTCTCAATAGAAGACCATAACTTTATATTATTAAAGACGTAGAAAAATACAGTGATATTTTAAGGAAATGTAAGCCGTAACTTTTCTACTATTAAAGTCTTGATTACCAACTACGTAAACGTATTTTGAATAACTTGGGTAAAGTTAAAGTTAACTTTAATTAATAATTATATAATTCTCATTGCAACTTAAGAAAGGAAACATGATATCTTCAAATCCTTAACATGTCATAGGTCTAATCCAGTAATCACAAATTAAAAATAGTCAAACATTGGTAAAATAAAAAAGTATGTCCGCCGCCAAATCCGGTTACAGCCGCCCGTCATAATTGCAATTCGCTCGCGGTCACAGACGGACAGATTGAAATTTACGCTGGAAAGTGATTAAATGGAACCCCCATTCGTTACAGACTATTTTCAGTTCCGTAATGAAAAATGTACACAAACGTCGTCAACGATATAAATAAAATAGAAAGATATTGAATATAATTTTTATTCAATTTAGTTTTTAATAAATATTAACATTTTCATTTTAAACTTTATTTAAATAAATTCATATTTTACGTGAAGTATCAAGCGTATTGAAATCTTTGAAATTTTCGTGAAAATCAAAGGCTTCGATTCGATGTAAATGTATGGAGACATACGCACAATGACCGTCATTTGGTGGTCGATGGTGGCAATTTGCGACGCTTATCCCAAAGCTCTGCGGACGGACAGTACGGATCTTGATCAATTGTACCGTTTACTTCACAGTGCAGTATCATTGCGTTGTATGTATGGGTTACAGTTAGAATGCATACGAATTCCACGTATCATCGTACATCAATTATTCTCTAATCTGAATAATTCTTAGGCTTTACCGGGAAATCCACACTATCTTTATATATATAATTCTTCTGTGCGTGTGTATGTCACTGAACTTCTCTCAAACGACTGGACCGATTTTTATGAAATTTTTTGTGTGTGTTCAAGGGGATCTGGGAATGGTTTAGATTCACAATTTTGTCCGCTGGACAATGTTTTTTTAGTTAATTTTTAATTTATTAGTAGTTGTTGATTTTGGAATGTTTTACATTGGATCTGACAGACGGCGCTACCATCGCAGTGTCAAATTTTAAATAATATTCGAATTAAAGACGTGTAGACAGGACAACGTCTGTCGGGTCCGCTAGTTATAGTATAATATACTAGCTGTCGCATGAGGGGAATAAAATAAATCTTAATTAGTAGCCTATGTATTCTTCCAGGCTATGTTCTACATCATTGATCCATGTATCGTGTAGTCAGGAGATACCTTCTAGCATACATCCAAACATTCGTATTTATAATATTTAAGCCAGATATTTGTAATGCACACATCGGAAAGAAATTATATGCACGTTGGACGGTTCCCGAGGCCGCCTCGACGCTCACGTCACGAGAATCCGCCCATGGGAATCGCGGAAAGAGATAAAATAGTAAGTAAACTATACAGAACAAATATCTTGAAATGAAATCAATAATTAAACTTCAATGTCGTTAAAAAATAGTCTTGTTCTTTTCCCGTTTTTAAATTAGATTTCCTATAAAAATCTAGTTACGATCTTACTATGTAAACTAAGCGTAATTTTAGTATCCACATAACTTAATAAAAATACTAAGCAAATACAAAAATAGTGAATAAGTATTAGAATAGTCAGAGTGTCAAAGGGTTAGATGTAGACACGGTGAGAGCGGGCGGTTCATTCATTTACAAACAAACGCCCGTCGCCCGCCCGGACTCTGAAATCACTGTGATTGAAGCTT